GAAATGAGATCTCATACCAACACTGTCTCTCTGCTCTTTGGTGCCGGACAGATGCATAGTAGTTTACAACACTATGAAAGCAGTGAGAGTGAAATGAAACAGTAAAGTTACAGGTAATTAAACCAAGACAAGCGAAAACACAATAACTGCAAGCGTTAGGTGATAATTACTTGTGGGTTTGTCACTGCGTACAACCCCTGTATTAATATGATCCATTGTTAATATACAAATGTTAATTATCTCCACTTTAAATAACTGGAACGAAGTAAAATCATGCTCTTCTGGTCCTATTCTCACGGCACATTTGTTTGTATGTAAAACAAGTTAATGTTGAGGTTATTGCTGGTGCTATTTCTTTTGGTGATAATACTGTGGTGTTACTGTGGTGGGAAACAACATTTTATCTAAGTGTGAAGTCTACGTGTGAAGTGCTCTGCGTTCTCTTAAAATATTACATATCTACCGCTGAGCCAACATCTGATCTACAGCTCCTTTTGAAGTGTCAAAACATGTTTGTGAATGGGGAGACTGAATAGCAGACTGACTCACCCCACAGCAAACTTAAATTGACCATTTTTGTTGAGGCTTGACGAAACGTTGGACAGAGGAGGGTGGGTGGGGGGTGGAAGGGGTTGGGGGGCACTCAACAGCTGACCTTTTCTATTTACCACAGCGATCCTTAACCTGGGAAACATGTACCTGGACTGAGACTGACGCACAAATTACTCAAAGGTCATGATATTCTGCTCGTCGAAGAGGAGCCCATCCCACTGATGGCATCAGACGTTTTTTCACTGAAAGGGAGAAAGAACAAACCGCATGGACGATTGCAATATCGCTACGGCTGTTTCTTAGACACTGCAAGATTTTTGGGTTTCCTCTGTGTGACACTTCACTTGTTTTTGGCACTTCTGACCACTTAGATGTCTTCATGTAGCAAAAAAAAAAAAAATGTATGCTACAAAGCCACAGGATTAAAATTAATTGAGAATTCACACACTGTTCTCTGGCAGCAGATTGTTTACTTGTTTGTCTGGTGCACGTCTGTGCCAATTCTTCAATGATGAACCAAGCGAATTTGTGTGTATGTGTGTGTGCCTTTGCACGGTGTCAGGGGGAATAGCCTGTTGGGGTTATGGAGGGTGCAGTGTGGGGTGATGAATAGGATGCTTTTGTGCTCAGTCTCTCAGCTGTCTGCGAACCAGCGAAGGAGAGAAAGGTGAGAGAGAAAGGGGCATGAGGTGAGGGAGATAGCCGAGACAAAGGGGAACAGAGATAAAAAAAGGGGAGAGGAGATGAGAGAGAGACACTGTGAAGTGTGGGGAGTACAGGTGAGACGTAGGGGAGGGGGGGAACGTGAGGTGAGAGAATAGGTGGAGGTGAGGAAGAGGAGGGGAATGTGAGAAAGGAAAGGAGAGACTACTTGTGCATTCAAGAACACTGCACCGTTGTCTCCGCAGCCAACAAAGAGACAAAGAAGTTGGCTAACGTAGGAAATCGTTGCCATTCATGTCAGTGGAGGAAGAAAACAAATGTCCCGGGAAAAAGAGAAAAAAAAAGACTGAAGAGAAAGTGCCCTGGTTGGTAATTTTGATCACTCGGCAAAACGCAGACCTGACCTCATGGCCTCAACCTTCACACATGATGGGGTTTGGAAATGAGCCAATCATACTGACGGATGCTGATGAGCTCAGCCGAAGCTGTTGGTGTTGGCGTGGCCACTTTAATACATATTGCATAAAGAGACCCGCTCGACTGTACCACTTTCTAATGAAAAATAATGTATGATACATTTTAAAAAAGGCACAGCATTACAATAGAGACCGAGGCGGGAGCATTAGAAGGTCAACTGTGATGCAAAGTCTTGATGTGTGATATTTGAGAGACCTTTTAAAGCGCTAAGAAAAAAAAACATTAAAAAACCATCTCATGAGGAAGAAAACACTCAGGACCCTTTTGGCCTAGAAACTCTAACTAAGAAGGTACACCCAGTTGCTCTGACAGACAGGGCTGGGATCAAAACTTAAGTACTTTTTTGGTACAGACTGTAGCGCTGAATACCAAAAACTGACAAGAGACTTGAAACGGGCATCTAAAGCTGAAACAATTAGTCCATTAACATAAACATCTGCAGTTCTTTTGATTATCAGCTAATTTATTAGCAAAATGCCAACCAGTGTCTGGGTCCAGCTTCTCCATTGTGGGTGCTTTTATTTATTTCTTGTGAATATGTCTGCGTTTACTGTTACACTCAAAACAAGCAATTTGAAGATGTCACGTTAGGCTTTAGGAAATTTTATAAAGCCAAAAATACATTGATCAATCATGAATCGTCGTTAATGAAAGTAATCGTCGGTTGCAGCTCTACTGGCATCAAACGTTTGGACAGGTTTCTGATGTTGTTTACTCATCCTTTGAGGAGATGGTTCCTTATTTGATTTATTATCAAATTATTATCCTTATTGCTTGTGTTTCACGAGAAGAACTTCAGTTTTAGAGATGAATGACTAAGTTTATTAGATTGACGGAAAAATTGTCTGCATCAATTTTGATGATCAATTAGTCATTTCTTAAGCAAAACAAGCTAAAATAAACTGGTTCCAACTCATCAAACATTAAGATTTAACCTTGTATATGATTACAGTTTGATTATTTTGGGGGTTTGGACTGATTGTTGGGATAAAACTAATTTAAAGATGTCGACCTCGGCTTTGGGAACCTGTGATCTCTTCTTTTTCTGAAATTTTATAGACCAAACATTTAATCAATTAATTAAAAAAAAGTAATTAATAGATTAATGCAACCCTGTTTTGATTTAGATTAAATAGAAATCTCCAAGAAAGCCAGCCCAGTACACGGAGGGACCATTAGGAGAAGGTTTGATGCACTTTTTTGGCTGCATTTTAGTGATGAGGAATCCAAACAGGCCAGTGCATCTCCCTGTCCACGTCTCCAAGTCTGACTCTGGGTCTGAATGTATCCAGCATGTTTGTGTCTGCTTGACTCTCTGTGCAGCATATGAGGATAATGATGCCTCAAGTCTGTTGATTCATCAAAATCTGTAAAACATTAGACAAAAAGGAAATAAAATGTTTGAGATCGGGCTGCAAAATAACACTTTTTTGGATTTTCGCCAACTTTAAATACCATCCCCCTCCACCCAGATGTGTATCCTTCCAGTCAGCCCACGCATGTCTGTATCTGTCACACATTCATATTTTCATCCCTCTCAAAAACGCAACACAAACACACTTGAAATTACGCCATTTAGCACTGATGAGGTCTTTTTTTCCCCACAGAAAAAGATCACAGGGATGCACTGTATCAGTGCCTGTTGATTCGGGCATACAGATACCTATTCCTGCTCCATTTCGCTGTTGTTTCTTCTTCTCCAACTGATTCAGAATGAGAATTAGCCTGGAATAACTAACCCCAGCGTGGACAGATAAATACTTTCTATCTACCCACACCCGGGTCCTCTGAGGCCATCGCAGCATGGCTTTTCTATGATGAAACAGCAGCGAGCAGTGGAGGGCTGAGGGAGTGGGCGATCAGGACACAAACTGTTTTTCTCCACAAACAGCAGGATGAGATGTGGAGCTGGCAGAGATATGGCATCCATACCTCGAGCACAGCCAACACAGCGTGCGTCCTCACTGGCTTTGCAAAGTCATGAGCTCTCAACACACACACACACATCCTCTTTTCCTGAATGCATCTTGCTAAGAGCATAATGCAAGACGTAAACAAACCGAGCCAACTATATGTGAGCAAGCTTATTTGCATGTTAACAACAACAAATGTGTTGCGCTTTCATCTGTTATATCAGGCTTGTGTGGTGAAAGTCCTTAATAGGAGCAGTAAAGGTTTCTCTTGATCAACAGTTACTCTTAAAGTGTGATCAAAGATGGCCTCAATAGCGGCAAACAACTGTCGAAATAGTGTTGATGAAGCCAGGTGATGATGTTAGGAGGCAGACATCATTAGCCTCCATCATCACACTTCATCAGAGGAGAGGGAGTGTGCCCGCTCTGTTAGCGTAATGGGCTGGAAGTATGAACAAAAGCAGATGGCTTTATGACTCAGACAATAAGGCGCTCATAATTGAATATGTATCATTTATTTCCATTTAAGCAGTCAAGCCATTTTTCTCCCCTTTGCTGTATCTCAATGGAAATCAATTATCAGGGCACTGAAGAGCTGCCATTGCACCGAATCAGGTGGATTTCAATGAGACTTCGTTTGGGATAATTCATCATGACTTGAAAGAGAGTTACAGCACTAATAAGTTGATGACAATTTGCATAGTGATAAACGTTATTCCCAGTATTCCTGTTATGTTGTCCATCCTAGAATCCATAAAACATGGAGTTAATTTGCACCACGCGCTATGATAAGGACATTTACAGCCTGTGGTGTCGTGACCTTATTAGACTTAAGTTATGGTGTGGTTATTGAAAGGTGAGATTATTAGCTTTTTACTACAGCATTTTGATGTCTTTATGGGCAATTTACCCTTTCTTTTTTCCCTCTTATATCACAGTCCTGGTTCAAAAAGTGTGTCATCTGTAGAGTTTTTGCAGCCTAACAAAGTCAGATATCAGATGTAGCCTAACTTTCTCAATGAAACTAAAAAAAAACAAAACGAAGGCGGATGTGATCCACAACTACCGACACTAGACACCAGCTGTCAATCATCTAGACTTTCCCGACATCTCAGCATGTGCAGTAAGTAGTTTTGCACAATGCACTGAGAGAAACTTGGCCGCTGTTCGTGCTGCTCTAATCTGTTTTTCCTCTTGAAGAGCTCGCAGCAGGACGGCTGCCTATGGAGCAATTAAAGCCTCTTTCTTAATCCAGCCGCCCCCTGAAACAACTGGAACTCCTCTTCCTCCTCCTCCTCCTCCTCCTCCTACAACACCACCACAACCACCACCTCTTCCTCCTCCTCCTCCCCCGTCTCCTCCACCGCGCTAGACAGCAAGTGCAACAGTACTCACCCCCAGTTTCTTACTCCGTATCCTCACGTATCCCTGTTTGACTATGTCGTTGAAGTTGGAAGCCATGGTGAGGGGAAGCGGGTAGCTTCCTGCCCGAGGTGGGAAAATTCAATAAAGTAACCTCTTTTTTTTTCGGGAGTGGGTGGCGGAATCTTTTCTCGAGGGTCGGTCGGTGTGACATCCAGCGGCAGGAGAGCGGGCGGTGGGCAACCTGCTCCTGTGTCAGCGCTCAGGCTGCCCGGCTTCAGCGGCGCGATCCATCCGGGAGAGGAGAGGAGGGAGATACCATTCGTCAGCTGATTCACTGGAGCCGGAGAGGAGGAGAGGAGGAGGAGGAGGAGGAGAGGAGAGAAGAGGCGCGCTTCCTGGACCACACCATCCCCGAAACGGTGAGGGGGGTGGGGGTTAACTGCGGCGCAGGGTGGGAGGGGGTATCTTTCTTTCATAAAGGAATACCTGGATTTTTTTTTCAATATCAAGCCACCATTTAACTAAATACTCCTCTAACCTGGATACTTTTCGCCATTGTTATTTTTTTTTAAAGTATCAGCGGTGTAGCTGAGGTGACCATGACTCATTACCCCCCCTCGAGAATTAGTGGATAACTCTAATTACGGTTTCCTAGTGGATTTGTCGACTTGTAACAGTTACCAATTTAAAACTGTTTAACCTTTTAATGAATAAATACCAAATTATTCCTTTTATAGGTGAAAAGTTGGTTTCATAAGCAAAAATACGCCCCTGCTTAATGTAATACCCTTTTTTCCCCTTTTTTTTAGCCTTATACTTGGTCTGGTATGACGGGTTGGTTGTGGTAGATAATGTTAGCTAATGCTAGCAATTTTAGATAGATAGGCTATTGTCAGTGGTGGAAGAAGTATTTTGATACTTTACTGAAGTAAAAGTAGCAATACCACACTGTGAACATTCAAAACTTCGAGTAAGTATTTGTACCATAAGCATTAACATAGGCTACTTAAGTTGGCTATGTTAATGCAGAGGAATGGTTCCTGTTTTATGGTATATAAGGTCACAGGCTGACTTTATTTTACATAATGTTGGGTAGTTTCATCGGCAGCAATACATTATATTGTATAAGATCATCATTTGTAGCATCATTGTCCTGTGAGAACGACGCATCCCTCAAAACCAAGTCATGAAAAACAATGGTTGGTTTTTTATTATTTGAAGTAGGAAAAGTTTTTCAACCCATAAAGAAACACGTCCTTTAGTTTATCAGAAACAAATCCCAAAATTTGGAGAAACTTTTCACCGGACAGGAATGGTATTAAAAAAAAAATCAGAAAAGTAACTAGTAGCCTAACTAAAGCTGTCAGACAAATGTAGTCAAGTACGAAGTACAATATTTGCCTCTGAGATAATGGTTGCATAAAATGTAAATACTCCAGTAAAAGTTCCTTAAAACTCTAGGTTACTTAAGTAGTGAATGAACTTAATTACATTTCACCACTGGATGCTACACAGTATCTGGTTTTACGTGAGTAAGTTTGCTGATTTTATGACTTTTATCACTATATAGTGGCTGCAGCTGCTACTGTTCAGGAAAGGTTAGGCTGACTTTAAATGCTTAATTTAACTGAATGCATTCATCTGTGTGACCATAATACCGACTTAATACAGAAATTATATAAATTTGGGGGTTTAGGCAAATTAGTTGGAGAAATCCATGGTTATCAGCCACAGAAGAACTTGCTTAGCCATTAGTTTTAAATAGCAGAGAATAATGTTACAGTGCTAATAGAGAGGTTGTTTTATTAGGAGAGACATGACCACATTGTATTTTTATTTATTTTTTTACTTACATGCAGCCACAGTGATAGTGTTATTGTAATATTTATTTAATTTTATTTATAAGTCTTATGTTCATATTTTTTGAGCTGAAATAATTAGTCAACGAATGCAGGAGTTCCCAGAAATTGTCATATTCAGGACACCCACAATAGATACATATCAGACCAGGGACATCAAATTTAAGACGATATTGTCTTAAAGAATTCCCTCTGAGTCTAAGTCTTTATAGTCAATATATAATATCAATGATCCAACTAGGATTACTATAAATTACAATCTATCAAAACAGCTAACCCTACTTCTTCCCTTGTTCTTCGAAATTCCAAAAAATGTGCTAAAAGTTTTTAATCCTCCTTATGATGGGGCCCCCATACAACCCACTGAAAGACCTCTGTCTGTCCCCGGACCTCAGTTTGAAAAGCACTGAATTAATAGATTAATCAAGCGACAAATGATTCTAGGCACTCGGGATCATTCATCTTTTTGATCACTAAAATCATGTATAAGCAAGTGCTCAAGGTCAAGATCAAGGTGCTCCCCTTGATCATTTATAACACTCAGTCTGTTTAATAAGACTATTTTCAGTAATTAGTAATTTTGATCTAACTTTTGAAACCTTTCAAATTCTGGCCTACCCCTTTTTCCCTTTTTCTCCCAACAATACGTTCAAAGAAAGTATGCAAATGTACAACAGAGCTTAGTGTTCAGACTAATTTGCAACACACTTTGTACCATGCATTTTGGTTATTACCTGTCTAAGTATGAATATCATTTCCATATTTTTCACCAGACAGCCCACTAATAAGGAAATACAATTTGAGATTGCGTGTGTGTGAGGCACCATGTTTTGTCATTATTAGGCGGCCTTGAATTGATGTCGTTTGATTCGGTGAATAATAAAACCAGATAGTCCGGTGCCCTATTAAAGGATCAAATAAATTGTAAGCAAACCAGACTATACAAAGCATACAACCACCGCCTGCAGCCTGTATAGTCTACATACAATGCTGCAGATTGGCAATCAAAAAGCTCTCAAAATAAAAGCACAGAAGCAAATTTTGATCCCTGCCAAAGCTATAATCCTGATCGGGATGTAGTGAGAGGCGTTGTGCAATCGCAGAGAGTGAAATCCTTGGTATTAGGGAGCAGATGGCTCAGGTATATTGATATGAGGGGCTGCCATTACTTATGTTGATTAAAATGTAGGTAAGAGGGATGGCTTATGTAACAGAGTTGCATAAACAACTATATGATTAAGTGAAGATCAGAGTCTTTCACTTCCAGAATACTTCATAGACTCCTTTATTCTTCCATCGAACAATAAGAAGGAACCACTGATTAATGTGGCAGTATCAGAAAACAGATTTTTAAATGAGGACACAAATATACCAGTGCATCCAGGCTTTGCTAGTTCTGTACAATTATCCTATTGCTCACACTAATTTATTTATTTGTTGTGTTGCACTGAAAGAAAATGTCTTCTGCTGAGAAAGAGGGGGGTGTCTTTGTTCTGTGCGTATAGATGGCTGCCACTTTGAGAAGTGCTTTTCTGTCAAGTGTCAGCTTTTGAGTCCAGAGGTAAAACTCAATGTCTGTATTTTCTTTCCCGTTCATCACATCCACAAGGGCACACAAAACAGCAAGCTGCCACCTCTCCAACAAACAGCTTGACTTTGATAGTCTTCATGTCTCCCTGGAAGTGTCCTCAAATTTCAGACTTGTCAAAGTTGTTTTGTCTTTATAATCCTCTTTGTTCGACATGGCCCTGTTCCATTCCCACTGCCTCATCATCCTCTCTCTAAGAAAACAATGCTGACAGCAACAATGTCTTTTCATTGCACTAAATATTGTGCTCTGGTGTCTGTTATTACCGAGAACTGTCCTAGTTTTGGGGAAGTAATTGCCTGCCGTGATACAAGACCGACAACCAGTTTGGCCTCAGTTGTTCGCAGGTAGAGAGGCTCAGCATGCGCAGCGTGCAGGCCCGCCACACAATCCAGCATATGGCCCTGACATACATGAATGGCTGCCAACAGGGTCAGACGTGTTGAGAGTCACTCAAGAGCAGAGAGACCTTCATCAAGGTCACGAGCAAAACAGCCAATATCGGCTGAGCTGTAGAAAACAACAATGTCCAAAATGGCAATTTATCAAGTATTGACCTCATAATCATCACCATTTTTCATAGAAGTTCCGCATCACTTATTCAAGTCCCATCACGTCTATGATGATTAATACTGGGAAGACTGAGCCGCTCACAGGGAAACCATGTCATCCATTAAGGCTCTTTTTTTTATTTTTAAAGTGCCTCTGAATTGTTTATTTAGTCTCAGACAAGGCGAAAAGCAAACTTTAGGTGGTTTTGACGGTTGGGTGAAATATTAAGACTGCCTTTGCATTAGTTTGTATCAGTGCTATTTGCCGAACATTGCCAAGCACAAAAGGCTAAATAATTAACACCTTCTTAAAAGATAAGCAGGGGTGAATGAGTGGAAGGGGACTAGGGGGGTTGAGCCAGAGACAGAAATGCCTCTCCATGCTTAGTTGTTTGCCAGGTAAGCATTTTTACATGTGGGCGGAGGAGAGAAAATAAGAGATCACACAGGCAGAGTTATGGTAATGTTCTGCTCCGGGTTCCTGTACTCAAGCTTTTTACAGCAAGCCGTATCAGCCTGATATGTTAATAGGCACAATGGGATTTGGGTTTGATTAAATGTCAATGCCTGGAGGAAAAAAAGGCTAGGAAAGAGAGAGAGAAAAAAAAAAGCCTATTTCTCAGAATAAGAGATGTGGGCTGTTCCGAGCTCAGTGGGTCCAAGGAGGACATTGGTTAGTCACACAATATAGGACAGCTAAGGTTATGTGCAGTCCCAGAGGATCAGGCCTTGACATGTTTGTGATTTACTCCATAACAGTTAGAAGTAGAAGTGGTTGGAGGGCCTCTCTGTCCTTCTCTAGAAGGTGAGTCGTGAGAGTGGGCGATTCGAGAGGGTCCTTTACTTCAATCACAGATGAGTGTATGAGAAGAGTGTATAAGCCTATTACAAGGGCTCCTCACATTACCGAATTAACCAAAAAATGTTATCAGAAGAGCTGAGGATAAGATTTAATTTGCGGCAGCGTCTCTGCTCGTGCAAATTCATTTTTCAGGCATTTCAGCAGATACACCTTTCATCATGGTCCGCTTTCAATTCTGGCCATCTAAACTGAGATAATGTGTGTATTTTCATTCAGAGAAGATTTACAATTGTAAATGAGCGCATGAGTCAGAAAGAGAACTTTAGAAGTTAACTATGTAGGTACACTAATGATCATTATGCTAATGGGGGAGGATGAACGCTGAGTAAAGTGAGTGAGTGGGGGAGGATGGAGGAAAGACATTGCACACAGATAAGGGTGAAGCAGAGGGGAAAATACAAAAAATAGGAAGAAGACAAGCAAGATTTTGGTCACAATGAACAGAAAAGGAATGGATCATGCTCAGGGAAAGGCTATACCTCCTGCTGGTCTGACCCAGTCTTTGTGTCCTAAATTGGGGTCCATCTTGTGTCACAGTGAGG